AGGACTTTGCAACTTTTCTACTACTGAATTGTAGCTTCTATTTAGATTTTCTAAAGTATTCAATTTCATGTCTTCTTTTTTAGAACTTATTTTAAGTTAAATAGTAAAATTAAAACTTTTGCAAACTGTTACATGTTGCAAACTATTACGTGTTGCAAGCAAAATACAAAAATTATTAATTAAACTGGTCTAATCTAAAAACTGCGCCTGTCTATAATAACATTTCCAAAAAATGTATAAAAATGTATACTATGTTCACAAGAAAAATTTGAAATTATTACTCATTTGGATCAAGAAAATTATTAAACAAAAAACCTTAAAATATTTATTTATAAATGCAGAGATGAAAATGAGTAACTTTTAAAAAAATATAAAAACAAATGACCAAACTAAATTTATCCTAATTCTAAAGAATTTTTTTCATTTTTAAAATTTTAATGTAGCTTATGTAACCTCCTGGTTAAAAAATAACTATACTATATAATAGTTATTATATAAGTAGTTATAACAATTCCTAACTTCCTGTTAAATATTTTTCTATAATTCAAATTTTTTGAAGTTTAGACATTCTTCTTGATGAACCTAGGATAGGAGAAACAACCTGTCGAAGAAAAATTTAATAAAGTCTTTATACTAATTTATTATTGCTCTGTTCTTTAAGAATATTTAGCACTTTATTTGTAAAATACATTAATATTATATATATATATATATATATATATATATATATATATATATATATATATATATATATATATATATATATATCACATTTTTGTGTGTGTACATATTCCTCATACCTTTACATTTTTAAGTTCAATACTCCTCTCTTAATTTTATTCAGGTGACTGAATAAATGACTGAATTTTATTCAGGTGAGTCTCTTAATTTTATTCAGGTGACTGTTGTTAATTTCTACTGGTTCTATTTAGCTGGTCTTTTACTTTAATTGAAATTTTACTTGAAATTTAGATCTCAAAGGTTATGCAATGACACTAGAATGAAAGTTTGTGCTCTTTAAAATAATCAAGTTATTAAAAAAGTTTTGACTGGCTATTTTGGTGGTAATTGGGTATTTGTTTCTTAAATTCAGTTTGCTTCATCAGACACTTATTTACCATTTGTTCTAAAACATCGTCAGTTAGATTACATTTTGATTAAATTTACTTGAAACAAAAAATCCTAAGATTTTATTGAATGAGAATATAAAATAACAGTTAAATTAAAAAATACATTTTTATTCCATAACATTGAAAATGTATTAAAAAATATTCCTCATCTGCGATGTCATAAAAACATGAATTTTATATTTTAATTTTGTTATTCTAAAAGTATTTAATTAACAAAATTCTAAAAGTATTTAATTAACAAAAAAGTCATACTTGATGTTTTCCAAAATTTCATTTTCTTCCATTTGAGGATTAAAATTTAAATCAGCAAGAAAAAATGTGTGCACATTTTTACTTTGGATATTGTAAATAGATTGCATAACTAATATTGGTTGCTCCAATGGGTAATGCTCAGAAAGGATCACTAAAACAAAATGTACATTTGATGTACTATTAATGCTTATTGTTAGACAAACATAACAGCATGAGTATTCTTTTCTTCACTTTATTTACCTTCTCAAGGTCACAGGGGCCACTACAGTCAAGGAGGTTATTCATTTTTTTTTTTTTGAAACCACTGTACAAAGAAAGGAGTTTTTATTTTTATTAAAAAAAAATTTATTTTTATTATTAACAATTGATAATAATTAACACAATATAATAAAGTAAAACACTAGATATAATAACTATAACATTTTATAATAAAAACAACGTAGAATTATTTTTGAACTTTTTTTCATTGTAAACTCTGGAATGGAAAATATCTATACTCTTTAAATCTATTTTTTTTTTTCCTTTTTTGCAGTATTTGAATCACTAAATGTAATTTTTTAATCACTCAGTACACTAAATACATATGTTTAACAACTAATTATTTTCTATACATGTTTAACAACTAATTAGTTTCTATACATATGTATAACAACTAAATAGTTTCTATGCATATTTATAACAACTAATTAATAATTAAAGCTAATATTATATGATTTTTTGCTTTTCAAAAAACATAATCAAAAAACAAGAAATAAAAACTATTTTAAAACTCTAAGAAAAAAAAATTAATTTTAAATTTTAGGATTTCTTATTTTAACTTAGTACTCCTAAAGCTGCAAAAGGGAAATTTAGATTTTATAAGTACAGATACTATTTTACTTTCCTGAGTTTGCAATAAAAATATTTAAAATTCAGCAATAACTTTATGTTGTTTTTATTATAAAATATATTTAAGCATACCGTATATATAATAATTTTTTTTTTTTACGTCAACATTTTAACATGTAAGAAAGTTTGTTAAAGAAAATTACACACCTTTAAAGACAAAATAAAAATCATTTATTGATATTAGAAAAGATGCATCAAAGAATCTTCTGTTATCATATTCAATCACGCAACTAAAATATTATAAATTGAATGCAAAAAAACGCAAAATTTAAAAATGCAAATTATTTTTTTTATGTTTAAAGCAAAGTTACTTTTATTATTATCGGAAGTTTATTTATTATTATTGGAAGACCACAAGCTAAATTTATTATGTAATATAAATATATTAAATATATCAAATGAAAAAATATATACAATATGTGTTCTAAAGCAAAACAAGAGTATAAACTTTCAATTGTTGAATTAAGTGATCACAAATTTTAATATATGGAAAAAAATCTGGACTACAAAAATGGTAAACTTTGTTTATAAAAATATTTAAAAAGAAATTTGTTTTTAAAAATATTTAAAAACAAATTTGTTTTTAAAAATATTTAAAAACAAAGTTGTTTTTAAAAATATTTAAAAACAAAGTTGTTTTTAAAAATATTTAAAAACAAAGTTGTTTTTAAAAATATTTAAAAACAAAGTTGTTTTTAAAAATTTTTAAAAACAAAGTTTATGGTTTTGAAAAAAAAAATTAGTTTAAAATATTAACTAAAGCACATTTTTACGGACCATTCGCAACAGTTTAGAAATGCTAAACTATTTATAGAGTACTTAAGTGTTTTTAAAAGTTACTGAAGTTTTTAATATTATTTAAATATCCATTTTATTTTTCTAGAAGCGTTTCTACTTTAATTAAAATTTAGAATTTTTTTTTTTTTTTTTTTTAACATCTTCACTTCCAACAAGGCTGCAAGCAACCACTATAAGAGTTGGAAGTTACTGGAAGAAAAAAGACTAAATCTGTAGAGCAAGATAACGATTGACTGATGACTTAAATGATTGCAAATTATATGAATCAGGGAAGCAAGATGAAGGAAGCGAATTCCAAAGAACTGATGTTCTAGGAAAAAAACTAGAAGAATAAGAGTTTTTGAAGCACTTAGGAATAGTCACAGAAAAAGGATGAGACTTAATTGAATGACTTAATTGAATTACTTCTCTAAATAATTTTTTTATTTATAATAGCTTGAACAAATGTTGTTTAAACAAACGATAAATTATAAACGTAAGCTATAAGTGCATTATAAAAGTAACAATATTATATTATTACTTTTTATAACACATTTAGTGACTATAGTGTTACTACTTATGTAGTCATAAATTTATTGTTTTGTTTACTTATTCATGACTTTTGTGCTATTAAATTTAAGTTAATTCAAAGTAAAGTACACAGTTTTGCATAAACTAAAACTTTGAAGACCAGATATTTTTACAGATATTACAATTTGCAATTGCTTAATTCAACCCTTGATAAATGGACTTAATTGTTGAATTAAAAATTTCAACATATTCACTAGAATGTCAAAAAATTGATTTCATTATTAAAAACAAATAAATTTTAACAAAATCAAATCTTAAAAGTTAATTTTATCAAAACAAGTAAAAAAAAAAACAAGTAAAAAAAAAAACAAGTAAAAAAAAAACAAGTAAAAAAAAAAACAAGTAAAAAAAAAACAAGTAAAAAAAAAAACAAGTAAAAAAAATTTTTTATCAAAACAAGTAAAAAAAAAAACAAGTAAAAAAAAAAAGATAAAAAAGTACTCTGATTTTTATAAATTTGAAGTTTTTTTTATAATTTTTTTTATAAAGATTTTTAATTAAAAATAATTAAATTTAAAAATAAAAAAATAAAATATAGTAGATTGGGAACACAAGCTGTTAATTAAATACAAAAACATATAATGAGATTGCAAAAAGTAGCACAAAAGTTTGTATTTAAACACAGTGTACTTGATTAAATGTCTTTAAAAAAAGTTATTAACTATATATGTATGTATATATTTATATTGCTTTTATTACTTGAACGATAGCTACCCACAGCTGTTTCAAAGTGAGCTTTATGGTTTCTTGTTTTTTGTTTTTTTTAATAATCACTTAATAGGTTAATAATTTGATTAAAAGTCGGTAGCATAATCTGGAAATCAATCATCATTGGAAAGAAATTTGTCAACCAAGATGTTCTAATAGATGTTCGATTGGGATTATGGTCGGGACATTCTGAGGGTCATTCCATTCATCAAATTTTTTTCTGACTTGAAAAAAATTTTAACTAAAATTTTTTGGGTCATCACCTAGCTAAAAATTCCTATAGAAATTTTTAGCTAGGGGATGAATTAGCTAGAATTAGCTAATTCATCCCCTAGCTAACAGAACTTTGGTAACTATAAACACTTTTCAACTTATGTGTTTAATTTAATGGAGTTCAAATCTGAAAATGTTATAGTTCTAAATTCTCATAGGATCATATAGGACTTTTTGACTAGGTCTTCCTGCTAAAGTAAATCCATCCTTAAGGCATTGTGTCTTGAGCTTGAAGCAACATAACATTTTTAATAATATCCTTGTACATATTTTTGTCGACTAGCTCATAAAAGTGGATAGGATAAGCACAACCTCTACTGAAGTATTCCAAACCAAAACATTTTGATCTACATGATATGCTGTTAATAGCTGGTATTTAGGGCCATTTGTTTGTCAGGTCAGGTTATCCTGCTACTGGTAACATATAACCCAATAGGATTTGTTTCATGTCTGCCTTGTCTGACAGCATGTCTGCTGCCTTGTAGGATACACTATTTTAGGCAAAGGCTAGGAGAGAACTCTGACATAAAACAACAAAGCCTTTGGGCTCTTGGTTGAGTAAAGGCTAGAGATGGCGTTTCGATAAAAATATTCATCTTAGGCAGATAATAAATGCATCTAGCTATTGTCTTGTAGACGGCCTCCTAGAAAAAGACTTATGGGGTAAACAGATTCTATCTATTGACCAGCCTCGCACTCCTTCTTCTATAAGCCTGGCGCAGATGTATTTTTAATACACTGTTTCTAGTTTAGGATGCTGAACACTGGATCTTTTTGACTTGATGCATGGGTTTTGATTGTGTCTTTTATTCTATTATACTTATATCTTGTTTATGATCCTAGTCAGTGCTCAGTTTCTCCACATTCACCCTTAGGTGATCACAGTTTGATCTCTCTAAAACTATTATTTCATTCTTCATCATCTGAATAACCCTATCATTGTACATCGTACAACTACCTTAAAGCTGACTGGAACCCTTACCGTGATTTTCTTTGTGATGGCCCTTGGGTAGAAATCTTTTATCTTCCTGTTGACAAATGTACCTCTTTCATAACTTCGTGGATTCAGGCTGGCATGGAATCTTTTATTCCTTCTCAATGATTCCAGGTCAAGCCTCACTCTTCTCCATGGTTTTCCTCACATTTTCCCTATTCTCAAATCATGAAATCTTGTAATTCATCACAAAAATTAGGCTCTTGTGACTTCTGGAGAATATTTAATAGTATTAATAATAAAGGCAAATTTGTAATTCCACCTCTCTTGTATGGTTCATACTTTGTCACCTCACCTAAAGACAAAAAAACTGAATTCATTGCTAAGAAATTTTCATCAATATCATCTCTTGATTCCACTAGTTGCGTTCTACCTGATATAGCCGTCACTCCAGCTTCTGTATCTAAAGTGATTTCCTGCTTAGACTCTTCTACAGCTTGTGGCCCAGATAACATACCTGTTAAAGTCTTGCAGAAGTGTTCTCCGGAGATGTCGTCTATCCTTTCAAAACTATTCAACAAGTGCTTATCAGAGTCTTGTTTTCCAGCCTGCTGGAAAACGGCACCTGTTATCCCTATTTTCAAAAACTTTGGAGAGCGATCTGATTCGTCTAACTACCATCCCATTAGTCTTCTTCCTATCATAAGCAAGGTTTTTGAATCTTTAATTAACAAATGCTTAATCTCTTATCTTGAATCTAATAACTTACTTTCTGATCATCAATATGGATTTCGATCTTCTCGCTCTACGGCTGATTTGCTAACACTCTCTGATTGCTTGGAGGGTGGAAGAAACATAAGAAGCCAACACTCTCTGATTGCTTGGAGGGGGCATTTGAGCTTGAAAGGATCTCACTTCTGCTACAGCATGGGGCTCACAGTGGCTGGTGAACTTTAATTCAGATAAAACTCAGTTTTTTTCAGCCAATCCTTATCACAACAACGCTCGAAATAACGGCCGATCAACGATCAATGATCTTCTATTTTTAGGGAAATTTAGAAAAATTCAAGGGAAAAAAACCTGTTTTTGTAAAAAAATTACATTTGATCGACAAGCTTTGAAAAACTATTTTGAGTGTTGTCACAATAATTTAGACCTATATTTATAAACGATAACGTACTCAATGACTCATCTAAGCTTCATCTTCTAGGATTAATTCTTACTTCTGATCTTTCTTGAAAACCATATATCAAATCTGTTGCAAAATTAGCATCTGCTAAGGTTGCATCTCTTTATCAACACTTTCTTACTCTGGATTCTATTCTTTATCTCTGCAAATCTCAAATCTGGCCTTGTATGGAATACTGATGTCATATCTGAAGCGGATCTTCTAATGATGCTTTTTCTCTTTTAGCCAAGGTGCAAAAACGCATTGTAAACATAGTTAGACCTGCTCTTGCAACCAACCTTCAACCATTATCGCATTGTTGTAATATTGTTTCTCTTTCTCTTTTCTACAAATACTATAATGGGCACTCTTCTAAAGAACTAGCATCTCTTGTGCCATCTACTAAAATTCATTCTCGTGTTACTTGTCATTCAATTAAGTCTCATCCTTTTTCTGTGACTGTTCCTATGTGCTCCAAAAACTCTTATTTCTCTAGCTTTTTTCCACGAACATCAGTTCTTTGGAATTTGCTTCCTTCATCTTGCTTTCCTGATTCATCTAATTTGCAATCATTTAAGACGCCTGTTAATCGTTATTTTGCTCTACAATCTTCATCTTTTCTCTCCCAGTAACTTCCAACTCTAATTAGTGGTTGCTTGCAGCCTTGTTAGAAGCGAAGATGTTTAAAAATTTTGTAAGATTAACATATCTACAGATCTAATAATAAACTATAAATTTTAATTTATTGTTATGGATTTCAATCCGCAGAACTTGCTAGA